GGAAAAAAGGGACTGATGACCGTATTTCACCTTTACGACCTGGTGACGGTCAGGTGATCAAAATTCGCAGGCAAAATTACCACGCTTTGAATTTCTTGGTCGAGCTCTCCTCAACAACGCTAAGATGGAGATTGTGCAAACGTGCAGAAAGCGGGTGTGCGTGGGCGCGAAGGAGTGACTTTCCACGGGCTTTCCACGGTTGAGAGGAAATTGGATTCACACCCAGCACTAACCACAACACTGCACTGCCACAGGTAAGGTGGAAATGAGCTCCGTGTGCCTTCTGGTGCCTAAAAAGATCTAGCAGTTGTCTTCAACATTCAGATTCAAGAGTTGTCTCATTGATTCCGTTCTATTTTATAACTCCCCATGAATTTTGGCTCTTAAAGCTGGGAAATTCCTTCCTTCTCCTTCTTTCTATCTCCTTCTTCCCTTCCTTTCTCCCTCCCTCCTTCCCTCCCTCCCTCCCTTCCTTCCCTTTCTATATCCTTCTTCCCTTCCTTTCTTCCTCTCACCCCTTCCTTCCTTCCTCCCTCCCTTCCTTCCCTTTCTATATCTTCCTTCCTTCCTTCCTTCCTCTCACCCCTTCCTTCCTTCCTTCCTTCCTTCCTTCCTTCCTTCCTTCCTTCCTTCCTTCCTTCCTCCCTCCCTCCCTTCTCTTTCTATATCCTCCTTCCTTCCTTCCTTCTTCCCTTCCTTTCTTCCTCTCACCCCTCCCTTCCTTCCTCCCTCCCTTCCTTCCTTCCTTCCTTCCTCCCTCCCTTCCCTTTCTATATCTTCCTTCCTTCCTTCCTTCCTTCCTTCCTTCCTTCCTTCCTTCCTTCCTTCTTCCCTTCCTTTCTTCCTCTCACCCCTCCCTTCCTTCCTTCTTTCCTTCCTTCCTCCCTCCCTTCCCTTTCTATATCTTCCTTCCTTCCTTCCTTCCTTTCCTTCTTTCCTTCCTTCTTTTTTTCCTTCCTTCCTTCCTTCCTTCCTTCCTTCCTTCCTTCCTTCCTTCCTTCCTTCCTTCCTTCCTTCCTTCCTGTCTCTCAGACACAAGCACAAAAAGACACAAACAAACACACCTAAATTTCTGAAACAGGCAAAAAAGTTTGGCTGACAAAAATTAGTGGCTCTTTTTACTGGCTATTTCTTTGACTTGTATTTCCTTTTAAAGTCATTGTGCCTCACCTTGTGTGTGAATGTGAAAGACGGCACCACATGTACACGCTTAAAAATCAGCTATTGGGACGATAAGCTTCCGTTAGAGGAGTGTTTATTATCCTCAGCACCTTTAAGATGCTGGATTTCAACTCCCAGAATTCCCCAGCCAGCCCTGCTTAAACATTGAAGACCCAATTTTCTCTTTTAAAAATACTCCAAAGTGTTCAGGCATCACCACATCTTTGTGAAGCTGATTAGAAAGTCCGCTTTTGCACTGAATAAATGTTACTTCTTCTATTGATGCCTCATTTCTTGCAACCCACCCAAGCTATTTTTTAGATTATTTTTGCAGGAGAGAGAGCCAAACAAACTGAACATTGTTCTCCATAAACTGCTTGCTTCACATGCTGAGATTAGTGCAAGCCGCTTTCTAACAGGTTTTTTTTTGGCCATAATATGGACTAGAAACGTCAGATTAAAAAAGGCCTGAGATTTCCAAGACACCACGCCCTGCATTGAATACACATCATGATCCCCCTATAACTGACCAACAAGTCTACACAACCCATGCCACAAACCCAACCGCTACCTTTTCCTGGGATATTTCAAATTCTCAGTCTACTTTATCGTTCCTGGATTTCTTAGTGGTCTCCCATCCACCTAAGCCTCCTTAGGTTGATTAGAAATACACATTGCCTAGTGTCCTTTAGGTGTTTCTCAATTTCAGCAGCTTTAAACTGTGGGGACTTCAACTCCCAGAATCCTTCAGCCAGAATGCTGGCTGGGGAATTCTGGGAGTCGAAGCCTACACAGCTGAAAGGTGCCAAAGTTGAAAAAAAAAACAAAACACCGTTTTTCAGACAATTGATCCAATGCTGTGTTTCCTGCCTGGATATTTTCTATAAACTGGTATATTAGCCTATTTAATAACGTTCAGGGATAATACTGGAGAATTAATTTTCCTTTAATCTAGAAAAAAGGCTCAGGGAATTTTCCTTAATTTGGGAGTGGGATGCAAAGCCAAACAACAGTTTCAATTTTAGTCAGCCAGCGTGGGCAGGCTATAATGAGCTAACCAGGAACACTAATCAACAGTGATTTTTTTTCCCCCCTGAGGTTCCTGTGGTCGTAAATCCCAATTTCCCAAAAGGAAAAAATAAAAAATTGACCGTTAACTTGAGTTTGCTTAATGCATCAGCAATCCAGGCTAACTATATCGGATGGGTTTCAGAATCTACTCCTCATTTGCTCCACAGAGGAATACTATTTTTCTAAGAGCAAGAAGAAAGCCGGTTTGGGTTTAATGATTAAGGCATCAAGCTAGAAATCAGGAGATGGTGAGTTCTAGTCCTGCCTTAGGCATGAAAGCCGGCTGGGTGACTGTGGGCCAATCACCAGGAGACAGTGAGTTCTAGTCCCGCCTTAGACCGTCGGCTGGGTGACTTTGGGCCATTCACCAGGAGACGGTGAGTTCTAGTCCCGCCTTAGACCGAAAAGTCGGCTGGGTGACTTTGGGCCAATCACCAGGAGACGGTGAGTTCTAGTCCCGCCTTAGACCTAAAAGTCGGCTGGGTGACTTTGGGCCAATCACCAGGAGACGGTGAGTTCTAGTCCCGCCTTTGACCTAAAAGTCAGCTGGGTGACTTTGGGCCAATCACCAGGAGACGGTGAGTTCTAGTCCCACCTTAGACCGAAAAGTCGGCTAGGTGACTTTGGGCCAATCACCAGGAGACGGTGAGTTCTAGTCCCGCCTTAGACCTAAAAGTCGGCTGGGTGACTTTGGGCCAATCACCAGGAGACGGTGAGTTCCAGTCCCGCCTTAGACCTAAAAGCCGGCTGGGTGACTTTGGGCCAATCACCAGGAGACGGTGAGTTCTAGTCCCGCCTTAGACCTAAAAGTCGGCTGGGTGACTTTGGGCCAGTCACTTCCTCTCAGCCCCGGACGTCAGACTCAGGTGACACGCCAGTCAATCGGATCCTGTCACAACCAATGGACCAATATTTGGTTCAAAAGGAAGACCCTGTCCTTGAGGGAAAAACCCCGGCAATGGCAAAACAGTCCCGATACATTGCACGACATCACGTGACGTCGTGAGTTTGACATGTTTGACTGGTCCCTTCCAACTTACACATTCTTCAATTCTTGGGGCTGCCTGTCTGTTCTTTAAGATTGGCTTACAGCCCGGTGCCTCAAACCAGGATGAGTGAAAAAAGAACGGTTGCTGGAATTGGGAATGTCCAGTTTAACGAAGAGAAGGACGAGGGTGGACAGGATAGCAGTCTTCCAGTATCTCAGAGGCTGCCCCAAAGAAGAGGGAGTCAAGCTATTCTTCAAAGCCCCTGAAGGCAGGACAAGAAGCAACGGGTGGAAACTGATCAAGGAGAGAAGCAACCTAGAACTAAGGAGAAACTTCCTGACAGTGAGAAGAATTAACCAGTGGAACAACCTGCCTCCAGATGTTGTGAATGCTCCAACACTGGAAGTTTTTAAGAAGAGACTGGACAGCCATTTGTCCGAAATGGTATAGGGTTTCCTGCCTGAGCAGGGGGTTGGACTAGATGACCTCCAGGGTCCCTTCCAACTCTATTCTGTAAAAGTTCAGAAGAGGATTAGGGGTGACAGGAGAACAGTCTTCCATTATCTGAGGGTCTGCCACAGAGAAGACGGGGCCAAGCTATTCTCCAAAGAACCTGAAGGTATTGGAAAACATCTGTGGCGAGAGATAATTTTACTGAGAATTTCAGCGAGGCGCTGATTTAAGGAAGCAGGAAATGCAACAGGACAGGAAGAGCTGGGATTCTCCAGACCCGGTCGGACTATAGCTCCCATCAGCCCTGCCCAATCTGCAGGCCCACAACCCACCGAGAACGACACCTTTCCAGTTGCGTGTAATGAAAAGCACGTCAAAGGTCCATTTAAAGTCCTCAGAGAGCACCTAGGATCCCACAGTCCACCGCTATCACCACCACCACCACCACCTCCTCCTCCTCTTCTTAAATCCTTCTCCCTTCTAGCACTGATGATGTTACCTAGATGGATCATGAAAGGTCTGCAAGAAAACCACCAAGCTCAGTGAGCACTAAGGACCCCATAGTCGTCGTCATTGCCCCCCCTCCTCCTCCTCTCCACAAACCCTTCTCCCTTCTAGCACTGATGATGTTACCTAGATGGGTCATGAAAGGTCTGCAAGAAAACCACCAAGCTCAGAGAGCACCGAGGACCCCATAGTCGTTGTTGTCCTCCTCCTCCTCCTCCTCCTCCTTTCCACAAACACTTCTCCCTTCTAGCACTGATGATGTTACCTAGTTGGATCATGAACCGTCTGCAAGAAAACCACCAAGCTCAGAGAGCACCTAGGATCCCACAGTCCTCCTCCTCCTCCTCCTCCTCCTCCTCCTCCTCCTCCTCCTCCTCCTCCTCCTCCTCCTCCTTCTCCTCCCTTCTAGCACTGATGATGTTACCTAGATGGGTCATGAAAGGTCTGCAAGAAAACCACCAAGCTCAGAGAGCACTAAGGACCCCATAGTTGTCGTCATTGCCCCCCCTCCTCCTCCTCCTCTCCACAAACCCTTCTCCCTTCTAGCACTGATGATGTTACCTAGATGGGTCATGAACCGTTTGCAAGAAAACCACCAAGCTCAAGAGAGCACCTTGGACCCCTGAATTTGGATTTAAAGCCAGAAACTTGTCAGGCCACACTGGAGGGCCCAACTGGAGAATAAGAATCTCCATGCTTGATCTCTTCTAAGAGGAGAGAATTGTTTCTTCTGAACCAGAGATAAAACATGGGCAGGCCACACCACTTGCTCAACCAACCCCCGGAAACGTGATGAGGCCGAGGGGGGATCCCACTTACCGAAAGACAGGACGAAGAAGAACGGCAGCCAGCAGAGAATGAAGACTCCAACCACGATGGCCAACGTCTTGGCTGCCTTCTTCTCCCTGGAGAACTTCAGAAGCCGGACCGAGAGAGAGCTTCTGAAAGTGTGTCTCTTGGTGCTGGCCAAGGAATCCTCCAGGACGCTCCGGCAATGGATCCTGAGCACCACTTCCATGGACTTGTTCCGTTCTTTCTTGACCCCAGCTTCCAGGCTCTTGGTGGTCCTCCTGGCCACCACGTAGATGTTGAAGTACATCACCAGGATGACCAACAGGGGCAGGTAGAAGGAGAAAAGGGAGGAGAAGATGGCATAGCCCGGTTCTTCCGTGATGGTGCAGAGCTGGTCGCTTTCCGGAGGCTGTTCCTTCCAACCCAAAAGGGGTCCGATGGAGATGACCATGGAGGACAGCCAGACCACCCCCAGGATGACGACGGCCTTCTTCTCCGTCATGATGGTGGGGTACTTGAGGGAGTACTTGACCCCAATGTACCGATCCACCGAGATGATGCAGAGGCTCATGATGGAGGCGGTGCAACACAGGACGTCCACCGCGGCCCAGATGTCGCAGAAGATGCGGCCGAAGACCCAGAGGTCCAGGACCTCCAAGGTGGCCGAGAAGGGTAGGACGGTGGTGCTCAGCAGCAAGTCGGCGATGGCCAGGTTGATGATGAAGTAGTTGGTGACCGTCCTCAGCTGGCGGTTGCAGGCCACCGAGAGGATGACCAAGATGTTGCCCACGATGGCCAGGAGGATGAAGATGGCGAGGAAGACCCCGACGCCCACCGACTGCAGGCTCAGTCCCACAGCCGCCGAGGCGTTGCGGCCGCTGTCGGAGTGGACATCTCCTCTGATCCAGGACCCGTTAATCCCGCCAAGGTCTCCTGTGTGGTTCCCATTCAAGCTGGCATTAATCCGGTCAGAGAAAGTCATTCTTTTTCAAGACGGCTGAGACTCCATTGGGGACAGGCTCAGAAGCGCTGCCTTGTGTCTCCCACGCCCCCTACCACATCTTAGCAGGAAGGCTGGAAAATCCCAAAGACCCCTCCCCTTTTTTTAGCCTTTGGAGATAATCCTTCCTTCCTTCCTTCTCCTTTCTTTCTTTCTTTCTTTCTTTCTTTCTTTCTTTCTCTTTCTTTTTTCTTTCCTTCCTTTCCTTCCTTCTTTCTTTCCTTCCTTTTCTTTCTTTCTTTCCTTCCCTTCCTTCTTCCTTCTTTCTTTCTTTCTTTCTTTCTTTCTTTCTTTCTTTCTTTCTTTCTTTCTTTCTTTTTCTGTCTGTCTGTCTGTCTGTCTGTCTTTCTTTCCCTTTCTTTCTCACACTATCTCCTGTCCCCTGCAGTTAATTCCTGCGAAGGTCGACTTTGTCCGAACATTTCTCACCGCTTTCTCCGTCCCCAGCCACGCAGCATCCCTGGCAGATTTATTCCGCAAAGGAGCTGGATCTCAAGAAGTCCGCCTCCCCTTGGCTTCTCCCAACCGATGCGCCTTCAGGCGTCTGTTCTCCTTTCTCTTCGGGTTATAGCAAATCTTAAGGCTAACACTTCCTCTCCCCCCCCCACCCCAGCACTCTTCACCGGAATGTTTGACAGCAGAGCTATTTTGAGAGGCCTTTTATCCTTCCGTGAGCTGGGAGAGGGTGAGGGAAAGAAGGGAAGGAAAAAGGAGAGGAAAGAAGGGAGGAAGGAAAGACACAAGAAAAAGAAAGGATAAAGTGGTGAAATAAGAGAAGGAAGGAGGGAAGGGAAGAAGGAAGGAAGGGAGAGAGGGAAGACAAGGACCAGAGAAAGAAAAGAAAAAGTGGGTGAAAATAGAAGGAAGGGAGGGAGGGAGGGAGGGAGGAAGGAAGGAAGGAAGGAAGGGAAAGAAGGAAGGACAAGCAGAAGAAAGTGTGGGAAATAATAGAAGGAAGGAAGGAAGGGAGGGAGGAAGGAAGAAAGGAAGGAAGGGAACGAAGGAAGGACCAGCAGAAGAAAGGATAAAGTGGGTGAAATAATAGAAGGAAGGGAAGAAGGAAGAAAAGAAGGAAGGAAGGACAAGCACCAGAGAAAGAAAGGACAAAGTGGGTGAAAATAGAAGGAAGGAAGGGAGGAAGGAAGAAAGGAAGGAAGGGAAAGGAAGGACAAGCAGAAGAAAGGATAAAGTGGGTGAAATAATAGAAGGAAGGAAGGAAGGACAAGCACCAGAGAAAGAAAGGACAAAGTGGGTGAAAATAGAAGGAAGGAAGGGAGGAAGGAAGAAAGGAAGGAAGGGAAAGGAAGGACAAGCAGAAGAAAGGATAAAGTGGGTGAAATAATAGAAGGAAGGAAGGAAGGACAAGCACCAGAGAAAGAAAGGATAAAGTGGGTGAAATAATAGAGGGAAGGGAAGAAGGAAGGACAAGCACAAAAAAAGGATAAAGTGCAGGAAATAATAGAAGGAAGGAAGGAAGGAAGGAAGGAAGGAAGGAAGGAAGGAAGGAAGGAAGGAAGGAAGGGACAAGCACCAGAGAAAGAAAGGATAAAGTGGGTGAAATAATAGAAGGAAGGCAGGGAAGAAGGGAAGAAGGAAGGAAGGAAAGGGAAGAAAGAAAGAAAGAAAGAAAGAAAGAAAGAAAGAAAGAAAGAAAGAAAGAAAGAAAGCCTCTTCACCCCTTCTCGAGCTCCCTCAAGCCTCCTTCGTTCCGCAGAACCGGACAACCAGCCTGCTTCTTCAATTCCCCGCTCCCGCAGCAGCCAGCCTGCAAAGCCCGGACTCGGCTACGCGGTGGCGGCGGCGGCGGCGGTCCCTGCGCAGCACCGAGCCGCGGGCGCTCAGGTGCCGCGCGCGGGGGGCTGCGGAGCGGCAAGCGGCGCGGAGCGGAGCGAGTCCCCGGCCGGGGCGAGGCGAGGCGAGGCGGGGCGGGGCGGGAGCGGAGGGTCCCCGCCGCGTTTGTCCGCGGAGGCGCGGCGGGAGGCGGGCGGGGCTTCGCCGCTGCCCGAAATAGCTCCATTGAAGGATTCCCAGCGCTCCGACCGGGCGCCCGGCAGGCGCTAGAGGGCAGCAAAGGGCCGGGAGGGCGCCCGACTTGTCGCAGCGCTCCGAGCCGCCGACTGTGCCCGGGTGGCTCCTGGCAGGGGGGAAAAAACAACAACAAACCCATCAGAGCTGGAAGGGACCTTGGAGGTCATCTGGCCCAACCCCCCCTGTTGGAGCAGGAGACCCTTTGCCATTCCGCACAGATGGCTGTCCAGTCTCTTCTTGGACGCGGGGTTGGACTAGATGATCTACAAGGTCCCTTCCAACTCTGTTATTCTATTCTATTCTATTCTATTCTATTCTATTCTATTCTATTCTATTCTATTCTAATTCTTTCCTATTGTTATTCCTATTCTATTCTATTCTATTCTATTCTATTCTATTCTATTCTATTCTATTCTATTCTATTCTATTCTATTCTTATTCTTATTCTTATTTCTTATTCTGTTCTATTCTATTCTATTCTATTCCATTCCATTCCATTCTTTCCTATTCTTATTCTTATTTCTTATTCTTATTTCTTATTCTATTCTATTCTATTCTATTCTATTCTATTCTATTCTATTCTATTCTATTCTATTCTTAATTCTATTCCATTCTATACTCCATTCTGTATTCCATGCTGTATTCTATTCTATTCTATTCCATTCCATTCTTTCCTATTCTTTCCTATTCTTATTCTTATTCTTATTCTTATTCTTACTCTTACTCTTATTCTTATTTCTTATTCTATTCTATTCTATTCTATTCTATTCTATTCTATTCTATTCTATTCCATTCTTTCCTATTCTTTCCTATTCTTATTCTTATTCTTATTCTTATTTCTTATTTCTTATTCTATTCTATTCTATTCTATTCTATTCTATTCTATTCTATTCTATTCTATTCTATTCTATTCCATTCTATTCTTTCTCCTCCAGTGATGAGGTACCCACAAGGTCTGGAGGCAAGTCGTTCCATTGGTTAATTGTTCTCATTTTTCAGGAAATTTTTCTTTAGTTCTATGTTGGCTCTCCCTTTAATGAGCTTTCACCTATTACTTCTTGTTCTGCCTTTAGGGGCTTTGGAGAATAGCTTGACTCCCTCTTCTTTGTGGCAGCCCCTCAAATACTGGGAGACTGCTATCATGTTACCCCTAATCCTTCTCTTCTGAATGTTTACAGAATACAGAATAACAGAGTTGGAAGGGACCTTGGAGGTCTTCTAGTCCAACCCCCTGCTGAAGGAGGAAACCCTATACCATTCTGGCAAATGGTTGTCCAATCTCTTCTTGAAAACCTCCAGCAAGACCCACAACCTCTGGTGGCAAGTCGTTCCACTGGGTAATTGTTCTCATGGGTGACCGGGCAGGGAGAAGACGGGTGCTAAGGGGTGCTCCTGCGCTGCCCAGCCACCCTTCACCCCTGCGCAGCCCCTGGAGGGAGGGGGGTGGGGTGGGTCCCCACAGCAGGCAAGACTCCAGCTGGACTGGAGAGCAGCTTTCCTTGGTCATGTTGGAGGTTCCGAAAGAAGCTAAGCTGGATTGAACGTGGTTGGCATTTGGATGGGAGGACCCTGGAAACCCTGGATTGGGGAAATTAAAGCATCTGTTGAAGAAAGCCATGGAGGAAATGCTTCCTTCCTTCCTTCCTTCCTTCCTCCCTCCCTCCCTCCCTCCCTCCCTCCCTCCCTCCTTCCTTCCTTCCTCCCTTCCCCACTGTAATTCTGCATGAATTTATTTCCTTCCTTCCTTCCTTCCTTCCTTCCTTCCTTCCTTCCTTCCTTCCTTCCTTCCTTCCTTCCTTCTTTCCCCACTGTAATTCTGCATGAATTCATTTCCTTTCTTCCTCCCTCCCTCCCTCCTTTCCTTCCTTCCTTCCTTCCTTCCTTCTTTCCCCACTGTAATTCTGTTTGAATTTATTTCCTTTCTCCCTCCCTCCCTTCATTTCCAACTGTAACCCTGAATGGATTCATTTCCTTCCTTCCTTCCTTCCTTCCTTCCTTCCTTCCTCCCTCCCTCCCTCCCTCCCTCCCTCCCTCCCTCCCCTCCAGGAATGCTGCCTAGATATTATGTTTTGAAATAAAAATCATCTCCTTGGCCAATTTTTTTTGAAGATAGGGTAATAATCCTTGCCTAGACCCTTTATTAATCTAATTAGTTTTATGGCTGTGAAACAAGAGGAAAGAGCATGCTTGGAATGCTTATTCTTCCCCGTGTGGATTATTCAAAGCAGAATGGAATGAAATCGTTCCTTTGATGATCCTGTTCCTGGGACAAAGCTTGGGAGTGACGGTGTTTGTTTTTATGAACTGGGAACTCTTGAAATATCTTTTTTTGAGGATGTTTTGCACACCCTGTGATCTCACTGTCATGAGTAAGCTCTGGAAGCACTGTATAATGCTTCCAGAGCATTATAAAGGTTTTGTATAATGTAACATTCTGTATTATACTGCATTAGAAAAGAATAGAATAGGAAAGAATAAGAATAGAATAGAATAGAATAGAATAGAATAGAATAGAATAGAATAGAATAGAATAGAATAGAATAGAATAGAGTAAGGAATAGAATAGAATAGGAAAGAATTAGAATAGAATAGAATGGAATAGAATAGAATAGAATAGAATAGGAAAGAATAAGAATAAGAATAGAATAGAATAGAATAGAATAATGATAGAATGGAATGGAATGGAATAGAATAGAATAGAATAGAATAGGAAAGAATAAAAATAGGAAAGAATAAGAATAAGAATAGAATAGAATAGAATAGAATAGAAGCTGGAAGAGACCTTGGAGGTCTTTTAGTCCAGCCCCCTGCTCAAGCAGAAGAACCTATACCATCTCAGACAAGTGACTCTCTAGTAGTCTCTTCTTAAAGCCTCCACGGATGGAGCGCCCACGATTTCTGGTGGCAAGCTGTTCCACTGGTTAATTGTCCTCACTGTTAGGAACCTTCTCCGTAATTCCAGGTTGTTTCTCTCTTTGATCAATTCCCGGCCATTGTTTCTTGTCCTGCCCTCTGGTGCTTTGGAGAATAATTTGACCCCTTCTTCTTTGTGGCCGCCTCTCAATATAGTATAGGCAAGGTCACACTTGGAATATTGCGCACAGTGTGGGCCACCAGGACACAAAAAAAAAAGATGCGGAAACCCTAGAAACTATGTAGAGAAGAGCAACAAAGATGATTAGGGGA